GCTGGAAGGGATATGTACGAGAGGGACGACGCATGGTCGACCCTCAATGAGATCTCCGAACTTCAAGCTAAGCAATCCGAACTATTCTCGAGAGTGTTGGACAACACCGCAAGAATTGTTACGCTCGAGAAATTGGTGAGGGCATAGAGCAAGCAAGAACAATAAGCAAGAGCAAGTCAAGAACACTGCTGTTCAGAGAACAAATAGTGGTCATTCTACGTCTGATCAAAGAAACATTTCAACCTTTTGTTCCCTTGATTATTTTTGTTTCAATACAAGTCCATGTGAAAACGTTTTTGACCCTCGCCGGACCCATCGGTAATCTACATTCTTCATACACCCGACCAGTTTTCGCTGAGTTCAACAATTTTCAACAAAGCGGCGGATTACTCGAGAACGACTAGAGGAAAAAGGCATTTGATAGCTCTTTTAGCATTCTTTTTATTGATGCTCTCAGATTTGACCTAGGCTCAACAGTTTAGCCTACAGACCTTCCGTTACCTCCACCACGGTCAAGGATTGGGAGTCCGACCCCAAAAACGCACACTATTATACATAAGGCTGCATTAGGGAAGTGAACTTATTGGGAGGTCCGGAACCCCGTGACCCTCTCCCCTCGGAGGTGGAGCCCCTTTCCAGGAGGCAAAGACTGTCAAGATTAACGTTTTCTCAGAAATCATTTTCCTGCAATTGGTTTTGACACAAAACTCACTCGCCATTTCTTTTACCGGCATCGTGTTCATCTCGTTCGAGACGAGTATAGTATAGTTTGACCCTAAAGGGTCGTTTTGATAATTTGACCTGGGATTAAGGTCATTACCTGACCGGAAAATATCATGTTGCATATCATTCAATCCCGCGCATGACTGGGTTTTTTCCATAACGCGAGTGACTGGGGGGGGGGGGGGCTCTCCAGAGCCCAGAGCCCTCCTATCTCCGAAACTACTTGGCCGATCGTCAAAATTCAAACGGCGTCTGATAACCCTGGAAAAACTGTCGAGCAAAACCTATTTTCATTGACCTCGAAGTTATCGATGACGTCACAGGTCAGGTCAAAGTAAAAACTATCGGCATTTTTCTTGTTCACAATTTAGGCTCTGACCGCCGGCTGACAAGTCCGATCAGGCTCATTTTTGGTTTAAGCACTCCTTGATATATGTCTTAGATACCCTGAGGGTACCGAACTTTTACTTCGAATTTTTCAGGTCAAGTCCAGGTCATCCTAGGTCACGAAAATTGTATATCATAAATTGGTCACGTGACGCATGTTTTATGGTCCATTTTACTCGCAGATTTCGAAAAAAATGTCTTCTGTGTCATTTGAGGTCATTTTCAGCTGAATTTACCGGAGGTCAGGTCACTTTCAGGTCAGAAAAGGTCAAATTTTGAAAATGACATTTTTCAATAAAAAAGGTGCCTATCAGATGCAGTTTGAGCTCAGGAACACGATGGTGCCATTAATGTTGCTGTAAGATGTCAAAAACGTACTGAAAAATGGTGTTGAAAAATATATAATTGTAAAATTTTGAGAATAATGCAAATTTCTTGGCTATTTTTGAAGATATTGGGCTAAAACTTGCTAAAGTAGTTCATCAGTGGTTGTTTAATCACATATATTCCGTTTTTTGTAAAAATTAAAAAAAAAACTTTTTGAAAAAATCAAAAATATTTTTTTTTTAATTGTGAAAACATATTTTTTTAAATTTTCAAAATTTTGAACATTCGCGATAACAGTTTGATAGCTTCGTGTATTTGTAGTCCACTGATGCAAAGAAATCGGATCTAGCTTTAACCCTCGCCCATGTAGGGGGGGTTGGTTCAACCCCCCCTGAGGTTTTTCGGGAATAGTGCAAAAACGGCGGCGCGCAGCGCCGCCAAATTTTGGGTACCTTATGGGGCAAACCTTGCGCATCTTTTGATAAAACAAATTTGACCGGGTCATGTCAGGTTACGGAGTTATGACGTCACAAAGGGAACAGCCTCCGGCCTGATTTTCACAAACTGAGTGCCAACGCCCGAGGTTTCCTGCCGGTGGTACGGACATCGGTTGATGGATCGTGATGAAACTTCCCATGCATGTTGGGGCAAGTATTGGCTATCATATGGTATAAGAAACTTGACCGGGTCAGGTCAGGTCACGGAGCTATGACGTCACAAGAGGAACAGCGTCCGGTACTATTTTTGAAAAGCGCCCGAACCACTATTTTGCTAATTCTTGTCACCTCAATGGGAATATGCAGCAATATTAGCTTGTATAGGGAGCAAATGGACCTCCCAAATCTTAAAATACCTACAATCAGATTTCAAAAATTTAAATTTTGATTTTTCGAATTTCTGGCGCCGACTGTGACCTTGCCGACTTCCGGCGCTCCCAACGCGCCATTTTTAGAGCTAGGGAAACGAAATACATACCAAACGATAGAAAATTGATCAAGGAACACGATAGTGAAGGTTTCAAGTCGATATCTCCCACCGTTTTGCCGCAATCGCCGCCGAAAGTTGAAAAAAGTCTATTTTTCCGAAAATTTGACCTTTGACCGGTCAAAAGTAGGTCAAATGTTGACCTAGGACCAAAAAATATACCACCAATCGCGAGATCTTGGCGAGAGCAATCCGTTGGTCTTTTCCGCTAAGCTCTACGACGCTCCGTTTTCAAACGCCAAGGGGGGGGGGTCGCACCAACCCCCCCCCCTGCATGGGCGAAGGTGGCAGATCGCCGTTTACGGGCGAGGGTTAAAACTAAGCTCTTGAGAGCGTTTGCCGTAATTTAATATTTTGCATCGAAATCGGCCGACATGACGTCACTCTGACGTCATTTCCGGCCAAACTATGATAGATAGAAAGTTGAAATCAAACACAAGGTGTCAAATTAATGCCGCTGAGGATACCACAAGTTTCGTGTTGATCTGTCAAACGGTTTAGAAGATATTGCCGAAAAATGGGAGGGGGCTCTGTAGAGCCCCCCAGTCATGCGCGGGTAAAGCTGCACACATCCAAGGTGTTTCCAACGAGCTAGCCTGTGTATAAAAAGTCATTGTAAAAAAACTGGATATTTTGATGACCTGCAATGACCTCAGTGGTATACAGAGGGGTCATGGGTCCTAGTTGTCTAGTTTTTTTTTTTTTTTTTGCTAGTCCTACCTCCCACCTATCATGGAGCATGTTATTCGACGATGTAGGTACAGATGTTAGGGTCAAGGTCAAGGTCAACCTAGGTCATCTAAAAACATTGCATTTTAGGCTAGTTGAATTTACTTTTCGTGAAGTTTTTTACTGCATTTTTTGGTAAAAACTCAGTTCATGATCCCATGTAATAGGGACACACCAAACAATCGGTGCACACATCAGTATACACACAGATGCACACAAACCTACAAACACATATGATATGATATGTGATATTCCAGACATATGATATTCCAGCGGTGGCCCCAAACAGCAACATTTTTTAGTTTGACCTGACCTGACAGGTCAATGCTTGACCTGCCAGGTCAGGTCATAAAATTGGGTACCATTGGATTCGTCTGTTCCCAAAAATCTGTTGGTCTTTGCCGTGAAGCTCTATCTCCAGCAGGAACGAAATGGCGCGGGGGTAGCACCCCCCCCCCCCCCATATGCGTTATAAGATGGGAAAATGGCATGTGCGGGCGAGGGTTAAGGATAGATTTTGCGCTTATTTTGATGGTAGTGCTTATAATGCATCCCGATCTTAGTTGTATGTAGAAGCCTCAATTTGAAATCAAGGTCATGTCAGGTTAGGTCAAGAAAGGTCACCTTATGTCGACTAGAATCTAGAAACCACTGATTCTCCTCTCCTGGGTGCCGCTGTCGCTGCTGCTGATCAGGTTGTTGACGAGGTATGATGATGATGACGATGATGACGATTATTACGAGCGAGCGAGCGCAGCGAGCGAAGCGAAGTCTTTTTGTTACCGCCGAGAGGGGGAATTGAAGGAATAGGAGGTGCCAGTTCAGTTTATTGCTTAGGGCATGCGAATGTGCAACACTTACCTGTGCATGTCTGCCTGCGGAATTTGCACTGCATGGGATGTTGGGACGTTTGCTTTGTGTTGCAATCGTGGCTGCCGGGTTTGCTCACACATGTTTTGCCTTCTCTTACAGTGCAAACGTGCTAAAGTAATTGTTCATTGATGACAGGCGTATTGTGGACCATTGAACTCCTTCATCTTGCAAACGAAGTACGTATCCATACGTTTATGTGTTAAATGTCTGCGGTCAACTGTGGCTACGCTATGGAGTCATTTGTTTTCTAATGAGCTGGCCACTACTTTGAATTGACACTGATCACAACAGAATGTTCAGCAGACGCCAGACAGTACAAAATGTGAATGATTGCTTGTGAATAATGCACTGTCAAACAAATCGCTAGAATGCTTGCTCGATTGTCTTGTCCGCATAGCTTCTTGCGCAGGGCTGTCGTGCATGAATCGTGCATGAGCACTGCATGAGCTTCATGTGACTGACGGTGCGTGATCTGTGCGTGTTTGTTGCAGCTTTTACGTGACAAATGAATGGACTACTGCTGCAATACATCACTGGGGCAATCCTAACTGTCCTTCTCTATTGATAGTAGTTGGTAGTTGACGAAACGCGGTTACAGTAAAAGTTCGTTTGCTGCTTCCTTTTCCAGTCACTCAATGAACACAAGCTGAACAAGCTTACCTTCTGTCCAATGTAATGTCCCATCCTTGTCATTGGTATCACTGAAGAGGAGAATTGAAGACAAGATGGATCAACAGAGGGTTCAAGTGCAAGAGAAGAAGACAACTGTATGTGAAGGGTCACGACCAACAAGAGGAAAGAAGATGACTGAAGCTGGCAGAGAATACCAATGTGGTATCAAGACACAGGCATATAACAGATACTGCAAGGAGCTTAACAAGCTGTCAGTGCGCATACTGACTGAAGATGGTATGGAAATAGCAGACGATATCAGTCAGGAACTTCTGGACAAATGGATGCTTTGCCATCAGGAGTTCCTACAGATTGAACAGGAACTCCAAGAACTGCTGGATCCTGAAGACAGACTCCAACATGACAAGAAACTGTGATAAGCAAATGAGAAATCAATCCGCCCGACACAAATCGTCTCCCAAAAACCACTGTATTTTTTGCCTCCCCAACAATCCGACTTGATTTTCTGAAGTTGATCTCGCGCAATTTCTCGCCCTTGTGTGAACTTCACACTTCCGTATCACAGTTCACATCACATCCCCCCCTGATCCTCAAGATCACATTACACCTCTTGGCGATGTCTGAGGTCACGGACGTGCCACGGGGCACCATCTACCTCCATCACCTGAGGCGATATAAAACCAGTTACCACCCCTCGCCGAGACTGCTCCCCACATCGCGTTTTTGGGACCCTCATCCAGACTTCGTCGCCTATCCTATACCCGCCATCTTCTGCATCTTCCGCACGTGCTGTCGGTGGCGCCTCGTTCCTGCCGTCAGTGGCGCCGGCCAGCACTCTGTCCCGCACCCTGTACTTGTAGACCTGGGCGGCGGGAGATGTTTCAGCTCGTTCCCCGTCTTGTGGTGTCACATTATATAAATGCACAGCTTCTGTGACAGAACACTGTTTTCTTGCCATAATCACTTTTACCGACCGGTGATTACGTTCAACTATCCCATTGCCACTCGGTTGATGGACCGCGCGAAAGCGCAGCCGCACTCCCCAGCTGGACATGAAGGCTGAAAACTCTCGACTTCGAAAAGCCGTGTCGTTGTCTGCCAGGACTTCTTCGACGGCTCCGCGCTCGCTGAAGATTTGATCCAGCTCCTCAGTCACGTGTGCGGTGTCAGCCCGCCGCAGCCGCCGCCACAGACTGAACCGAGACGGTCCACAGTCAACAGCTGTGAGATAGAGCTGACCTCGGAAATGAGTGATGTCAATGGCCAGACGGGACCATGTCTCCTTGACGCTGAGTACGCCGTGTCGCCACTTCACCGGCGCCGGGTCAATGGATCTGCACACATCACACTGTGTGACCACCGCACGCGCGTCCTTCCGGGTCACTGTCGGAGAAACATCACGGCGCGAGAAATATAGCGTGCGCCTTATCCCTGGGTGACCGGCTCGAGCGTGCACGTCTCTGATAGCCGAGTGTAGGCTCGTCGCCTCGCCGCCATCTGCGCCACTGGCCTCGGAACCTGTGCTCACTCCCGTTACACCGTCTGCCCCGGCTGCCGCGCAGACGGGCTCCGGTGAACTGTCCGGCTCCCGCAGCCACGCAGCGGGCACTCGGCTGATGCAGTCCGCCTTGTTCTCTGCCGACCGCACCAGCGTTACTGTGAGTTCGATGTGCAACTCTTCCACGATCTGCCGGATGGTATCTACCCGGCGTCGGATCAGCATCTCTCCTTGGGCTTTAGTCCGGAGCCGTGCGCGACCATTGAGAGCGTCACTGATCCAGCGGTAAACCGTTGACGAATCTGTCTTCAGTTCGACCTTGTTCATGTTCCAAGCTACTGCCAAGTTGAGACCTCGCAAGGCTGCGTCGAGTTCAGCCATGTTGATATGAGCTGTCTCGTCCCGCCGCAGCCAGCAGGCGTCCTCGATGGTGTGCCCGTCTGGTGTCTCGAGGACGACTCCGGCAGCGACAGAACTGGCGTCAGTCCAAATCACAGCGCTCTCGCCCTGAACGCTCCAGCGACCGCGCGCAGGGTCATCACTGACCAGCCGCTCCGCTACATACTGGAGCTGATCCAGCAGCATCGGGTCCCTTGTGACGTCATCCCAGCCACTCGTCACCGCGTTGGCGCGGCGCTTTAGCCATGCAGCCGCTGGTCTCAGCCACCCACACACGGGCAGGTGTGCCACCAATCGGCCGCACCACGAGAAGACCGATCGCCGAGTGACAACTTCAGGTGGCTCGCCGACCTCGTTGTCTCTTTTCCACTGCAGCGCTCCTGCCACAGCCCTGACGCGCAAACCAAGCATTCGAGCTCCATCTGCAGCGCGCTCTGGTGGCTTACACTCCAGGCCGTAAGCTGCGAAGTGTTCCACCACTCGGTCTGCGCTGACGATATCTTCGTTCACGCAGAGGTCATCCACGTACGGGATCGTCGCACGCTGTATATCTGCGTCTTGGCACAGGACCGCACGCACCACCGCCTTCATAACTAGCGGCGCGATATTGAGACCGAACCCGACCCTGGTCAAAGCATACCGTGTCCCGTCAACCATCACGGTCTGGAAGGGCCAGAGGCTCGGATCCGTCCTCAGTTGTAGATATGCCCGCTTTAGGTCCACCACGGCCAGGTTTTGTCCGTGTCGGCGCCACCTCCTTAGCGTGTCCGCACAAACGTCTGCATCGGAGGTGTGAGCGGGCACGTAACTGTTCAGCTCACGGTAGTCCATGACTGGCCTGACCTTCGACTTGTTGCCTTGTATCACAGCCATCAGTGGAATCAGTCCGCGCGGTGGTCCGTGAACGTCTTCTTCATACGGTGTGAGCCAGCCGTTCTCAATCCACACCTTCAATTCTTCCTCATACTCGCTTCGGCTCTCCTCAGGCACGGCGTACCCTGGCACATTGTTGTTGAGGTGTGTTGGCTCAGCTCCGTCTCGCCATTTCCAAGCCATTGTCCACGTCTTCTTCTCAGTATCAAACTGCACAGTGAAGTCGGACGTATTCACCGTGGGAACGGCCTGACACGCCATCGCCATCCCACAAAATCGCACGTCGGACGGGGATCCGATTGTAACACCACCAAGCGCTGAGATCCCGGGAACACCGAGAATCAAGTCAACTCCCATTGGCCTGTCTTCCAACACCAGTGCCTCGACTCTTGCCGACTGGCCAGACACCGTCCTCAGCTCAATGGTTGCAACGCCGGCGCAGTACACCGGGTCGCCGCTCAGTGTGGTAACAGCAGTGCGCTGCCGCTCCCATTCCCGACAAACCGATTCATGCACCAGCGTCTCAGTGCAACCGCTATCAACTAACGCCCGACATCTCCTGCCATTCACGATGATGTCGGTGACCGGCAGCGCACCACAGCTTACTGCGCGGGAGACGACGCCTGCGCTGACGCGCCACCTCCCAGCGCGTTTCCCGCCGCCGCGCGGTGTGGACAGCGGGCAGCCAGATGTGTCGGTTCGCCACACACCCAGCAACGGCGCGGCTCCACTGCACCGCGAGACGGCCTCTGCGTTTCCGCATCTGCCGCCGACAACTGGCGTCTTTGGCGGGAGCTCTGAGGCCGTCCTCTGGTCGATGTTGTCGCCATCACCAGCCGCTCGTCTCCCATCACGGAACGAGCCCTTGCAAGTATATCCGTGATCCCCAAACCATCGGCGATGGAGCTGGCTCGCAGTGTCCTCCGTACGGACTCGGGAAGACCGGCGAGAAAGGCGCACTTCAGAGCCCGTTCCGGCACGCCTCCAAAGCGATCTGCCAGCCGTCGAAGAGCAGCGAGGTAAACATCCGCGGACTCCCCAAGCTGCAGCCGCCTTGTCACGAACGCATCGTACGCAGCGCTTTCGTCGAGCGCAAACGCGGCTTGTAAGGCGGCCTTCACGGCCGGTAATGATTCTCTAGCATCGGGGGAGAGCTGGGACCACACCGCGAAGGCACCGCCAGTAAGACGTAGAGGTATCACCTCGATGGCGTCCACACCTCGATGTGAACATATCAGTTCTGCCCGTGAAAGCCATTCCATCACATCAGTTGATCCGTCGAATTCCGTTATCAGCCGGGGGTCAAACTGCCCTGTTTCCACTTTCCCCGTCTTATTCTTCCCTGATCTTGGAGCCATTCTTATTTCCACTGCTAAATACGTTAAAGCCGAAATAGCTTGTGATAAGCAAATGAGAAATCAATCCGCCCGACACAAATCGTCTCCCAAAAACCACTGTATTTTTTGCCTCCCCAACAATCCGACTTGATTTTCTGAAGTTGATCTCGCGCAATTTCTCGCCCTTGTGTGAACTTCACACTTCCGTATCACAGTTCACATCACAGAAACATGGCCAGCAACTGGAAGAAATGAAAGTGATTCTTGGTCTTCTAAGACAACAAGATCCAAGAGGGCTTCTCTGCCGCCCGTATTCAAGTGCTGCACCTGGTGCAGTTGGAGGACAGGGTGTGACGCAAGAGACGCCTCAAACCGACCTCAGGATTGAACGCGATGATGACAACAAAAGCGCTGCATCTCGAAAGAGCACTGCAAGCTCGTTTCGTGCTAAGCTGCTCGAAACCCGCCTTCAGGATGAGCGTCAGCGAGCTGAAGCGGAAGCGAAGATGGCTGCTCTCCAGAGTAGGAGGAAGCTGGACCAAATGAGACAGGAACTCGAATGGAAAGAAGAAGAGCTTCGGCTGAAGACACAAATTGAAGTCAGTGCAGCACAGAGGGAAGCTGCAAACCGGATTGCAGAGGAAGAAGAAGAGATGTTTGTTATGGAAACAGGAGCAAGACCTCGCATGTGTGTCGAACATCAGCAAGCTCCTGCTGCTATGCATGAAGCCGCAACACTGAGAAACTATCAAGAAACTGAAGGTCCAACCATCGACACAGCTGGCCTCGGTATCAGTCGCTCAACAAGAGTTCCGTTGGACGCAGTCGGTGATCCGCAAGGAAACGCTGAGATGACATCTCAAGAACAACTGCTGACGGGTCTGTCAACGCTGTTGTCAGCTCAGAACAAAAGAAGTGATCTCCCTAAGCTGGAGCCAGACGTTTTCAAGGGCAACGTTGAAGACTTTCCGCTTTGGTTAAAGTCGTTTGAGTCCTTCATTGAAAGCAAGACCGAGTCTCCAGTTGAACGGCTGAACTACATGTCTCGTTACACGGCCGGAGAAGCGAGGAGTGCGATACACGGACTGCTGTGCCTCAGGACCAACGATGCGTATGACCGAGCGAAGGCACGCCTCATCGAGCGATATGGGAACAGCTTCATTACCGTCACAAGCTACAAGAAAAGACTGAGGGACTGGCCTGTGATCAAACCGGGCGACACCAAGGCCCTGCAACAGCTGGCTGACTTTCTAGATGGGTGTTCTGCTACTGCTGATGTCGTGCCAGGCATGAGAACGCTAGGCGAAGCAGAAGAGAATGCAATGATCTTGAAGAAGCTGCCGAGGTACATCGTCGATAAGTGGAAAAGGATCGTGGACAAGAAAATCTACGAGCCAGAGCCTGGCCAAGAACCGTGTTACCCATCGTTCGATGAATTTGTCACATTTCTTGCAAGAGAAGCAAGAATCGCCTCGGGCCCCGTGGCGATGCTGGCGACCCAGGAAGAGACGCGGAGCCAGCGTCGCCCGCAAACACAACCCGCTAATGGTAGAGTCAGGACCTTCCTGTCATCAGCAGGCGCCCCCAGGCCGGCAACTGAACTACGTAGCGGACACACTGGAGGCTCACTGGATCCGACGCCTATCAAGTGCTTGTTGTGTCCAGGACGACACATCACTGGACTTTGTGATGTCTTCAGATCTAGCTCGTTAGATGAACGTCACGAGCTGGTAAAGAGATATCGTCTCTGTCGCGGTTGTCTTCGAGCTGGCCATCGCTGGTGTGAATGTAGGCGCAAGGAGACCTGTGACAGATGCGGCAAACGACACCCGACCCTGCTGCACGACGAACGACTGGCCTCCGTGCACAGGGAGACACAAGAGAAGAGATCGGTCCACGATGGATCTACTCAGACTGCAACGTCACTGCAGGTGACAGCCGAACGAGGGACGACACCCTGCTCACATTCGATGATCGTACCCGTCAGGATCTGGCACAGACTTCATCCGGAGTTGAACCTGGTGACGTATGCAGTTTTGGATTCACAGTCGGACGCGTGCTTCCTGAAGAGCAGCGTTCGGGACTCTCTGCAAGCTGACGGTGAACCGATACAGTTGGAGCTAAGCACGATGGCCGGCAAGTCAAGGCTGGAGTCACTGGCTGTAAAGGACCTGGTCATCGAATCCCTGAGCACAGGCACCGAGATTGAACTACCAACCACGTACACACGGGATGACATTCTTCTTGATCGACAGCTGATCCCAAGGAAGTCAACAATTCAGGCTTGGGAGCATCTCACAGAAGTGGCATCGAGCCTACCGAGGTACTATGAAGAGGCTGACATCGGTCTGCTGTTGGGGTTGAACTGTGGTGCAGCCATCAAGCCTCTGCAAACAGTCACAGGTGGAGACAACGAACCCTGGGCAGTTCGCACTGAACTGGGGTGGTCTGTTGTGGGCACGGTCGAGACACCGACGACGCCCTCTTCAGGCTGCTACCTCGTCAACGTGGGTAGTGACGTCACTATCAGGCGACACTTTGCCTTCAGGATGCAAGTGAGAGAAGTTACTCCAGAACAAGTATCACATCTCTTCGATAGTGACTTCAAGGAGGTCTCAAAGGGTGCCAAGATGTCACAAGAGGACATGAGGTTCGAGACGTTGATGAAAGAGCAGATGGTGCAGGGAGAAGATGGACACTTCGTAGCACCGCTGCCGCTGAAAGACCCGGACTCTCAGTTCCCGAACAACCGGATCATGGCAGAGCAGCGTCTTGCTTCCCTCAGGAGACGCTTGCTATCGCAGCCGCGCTTGAAAGAAGAGTATCAAGCATACATGCAGGATATGCTCGATAAAGGCTACGCTGAAGCTGTTCCGGATGACGAGCGATGCCGTGACGACGGGAAGGTATGGTATGTCGCTCACCACGGAGTGTACAGTCAAACCAAACAGAAGCTGCGCGTAGTGTTTGATTGCAGTGGAGAATTCCAGGGATGTTCCCTGAACAACCAGCTCATGCAAGGGCCCGATGTGTCCAACAACCTGTGCGGCATCCTGACTCGGTTTCGAAAGGAGCGCATCGGTATCACATGTGACGTGAAGGGCATGTTCAACCAAGTCAGGGTAGCCCCCGAAGACAGAGACCTGATAAGGTTTCTATGGTGGGAGAACGGCGACATGCGGCGAGAGCCATCCGAGTACCGGATGACGACACATCTGTTCGGCGCTTCATCTTCGCCGGCGTGCGCCATGAGTGCCCTGAACAAGACAGCCGACCAGTACGAAGAAGTGTTTGGATCTGACGCGGCAGACTTCATCAGAAGAGATTTCTATGTGGATGATGGTCTGACGTCGACTACCGAAGAGAAGTCAAGTGTGCAGCTGGTCAAGGACACGATCAGCATGTGCTCGAGTGGAGGTTTTGAGCTGCATAAGTTCACATCCAACTGTCCCGAGGTGGTGGCAAGTGTTCCCGAGAGCCGGCGTGCAAAGTCCTTGGAGCACGTGGACATCTCTGAAAGGACTGTCATTGAACACGCACTCGGCATGAAATGGAATCTTCAAGAAGACTCGTTCCACATAAATACGGACATCTCAGTGAAGCCGACAACCAGGAGAGGAATCCTCTCCATGGTCAGCTCCCTGTATGACCCACTCGGCTGGGTGGCCCCATTCACACTTCTAGGAAAGAACATTGTGAAGCAACTGTGCTGTGACGGGCGTGACTGGGATGAGCCTGTTCCGGACCACGTCGAGCCCCCGTGGGAGGAATGGAAGACGGACCTGAAGCAGATCGCAGACATCTCTATTCCAAGAAGGTACGCCTTCTCTGAGCACAGCCTGGCGGACTGCAGATGTGAACTGCACCACTTCTCGGACGCAAGCCTAGATGGATATGGAGCATGCAGTTACTTGCGTATCATAGATCAAGATGGATCAGTTACAACGTCACTGGTCATGAGCAAGAGTCGTGTCACACCGAAGAAGTCAGTGACAATCCCAAGACTGGAGCTGGCTGCAGCTGTGGTAGCAGTGAGGACAAGTGTCTTCCTGCGAAGTGAGCTCTGTCTGCCAAACCTCACCGAACACTTCTGGACAGATAGTTTGGCCGTGTTGGGTTACGTTCAAAACGAAAGCAAACGGTTCCACGTCTACGTGGCTAACAGAGTGCAAGAGATCAGACAGTTCTCGTCAGCCCGACAGTGGAGGTATGTCCAGTCAGCGGACAACCCTGCCGACCTAGTCTCACGCGGGATGCGGGCCGACAGTCTCAAGACGAGCACCCTATGGTGGGAGGGCCCCTCCTTCCTGAAACAGCCCGGAAGTCTTCCGGGTGGTGAAATCATTGTCGAGGTGCCCGCAGATGATCGGGAAGTCAAGGCGGCGGCATTCCAAAGCGGAACTAGTACAGGACAGCTGCCGAAGTCGTATGGTACGATGTCTTCAAGACTGTCGTACTTCTCGAGCTGGTATCGGGCGAAGAGATCAGTGGCCCTTTGTCTTCGCTACAGAACGCTCCTCTTGGAGAGGATCAGGTCCAAGAGTGGCGGCAAGTCGGAGAAATGTTCACCGAGTGGACCGAGAAGAGAATCAGATCCAGTCAGTGTGAAGGAGATGCAAGAGGCCGAGAAAGTCATCCTGAGAGCAGTACAGGAAGAGTGTTTTGTGAAGGAAATGAAAACTGACGCAACGAAGATGACTTCTGGAGTGACAGCAGACGGTACCAGCTCCCTGAAGCGGTTGAATCCGTTCGTTGCGGACGATGGACTGCTGCGCGCTGGGGGACGTCTCAGGAGGAGTAGTCTGCCCTTTGAAGTCATCCATCCAGTGATCTTGCCGAAGGAAGGTCAAGTCACGAAGCTGATTGTCTACAATGCTCACGAAGAACTGCACCACGCAGGACGTGAATCGACTCTCAGTGAGATCCGGCACCGTGGATATTGGATACTCCATGGAAGGTCAGTGGTCTCGAAGTGCATTTTGGGGTGCATCCAGTGCCGAAGGATCAGAGGAAGTCCTTGTGGCCAGAAGATGGCGGATTTGCCAACTGAGCGAACGGAAATGTCGGAGCCTTTCGAGTTCTGTGGCGTGGACGCGTTTGGCCCGTTCTTCGTACGAGAGAAGCGCAGTGAAGTAAAGAGATGGGGTCTGATGTTTACCTGTTTCGCTTCCCGAGCTGCTCACCTGGAAGTGATCAGTTCTCTGACCGCTGACTCATTCATCAACGCATATCGTCGTTTTATCTGCAGGAGAGGTCCCATCAGGCGTATATACTGCGACAATGGAACTAACTTCATTGGTGGGAAGAACCTGTTGGAGAGCGCTCTGAAAGAAGAGGATCACAAGCGAATCGCTCAGACACTCAGTAAAGACAACTGCGACTGGGTGGAGTTCGCATTCAATGTGCCATATGCGAGCCATATGGGAGGCGTTTGGGAACGCCAAATCCGAACGGCGAGAACGGCGCTGACCAGTCTGCTGAGCGCTAATGGTCAACAGCTCGACGACGAACTTCTGCAAACTCTTTTCGCCGAGGCTGAAGCCATCATCAACAGCAGGCCCTTGACCTACTGTAGCATGTCCAGTAGTGATACTGTGGAGCCATTGACACCTCTCCAACTCCTCACCCTAAAATCAAAGGTCGTCCTTCCTGCCCCTGGGATGTTCTGCTCCGCGGACCTGTATGGGCGACGACGGTGGAGGAGAGTACAGCACCTCGCCACCGAATTCTGGACGCGGTGGCGACGCGAGTTCCTGCCGTCTCTGCAGGAGAGGCGGAAATGGCAGCGGCCAGAACACAACCTGCAGGAGGACGACGTTGTCATCATGGTTGATGACAGCCAACCGCGAGGCGCCTGGCCACTAGGCCTGGTTGTGGCGACGTACCCGGCTACGGACGGACTTGTGCGAAGGGTGCGAGTGCGTGTAAACGGTCAGGAGTATGACCGCCCCGTGCACCGTCTCATTTCTCTCATGAGACGTGGGCAGTGTGATTCCCAGTCGGGGAGTCAGTGAGTCGAGCAGCGGGGCTGGAGATTTCAGCTCGCGATCTTCGACGGAGCTGGAACAGAGTGGTTCGTCGAATCGGCCGTTGCGGTTTTTGCGCGGACTTTGGGCGAGTGCTGAGACAACGCGGCCAGTGATTGCGGCACCCGGCGGAGCGGCTGCAAAGAACTCAGCTGTGATGGGGTGTTTGCGGAAGTTATCTTTAAGTTTGTTAAGTGCGCCTCTGTGCATCCGGGATTTGTTCTCAGGATCATAAAATCCTCACCGGATTTTGGGGAGCCATGTTACCGCCGAGAGGGGGAATTGAAGGAATAGGAGGTGCCAGTTCAGTTTATTGCTTAGGGCATGCGAATGTGCAACACTTACCTGTGCATGTCTGCCTGCGGAATTTGCACTGCATGGGATGTTGGGACGTTTGCTTTGTGTTGCAATCGTGGCTGCCGGGTTTGCTCACACATGTTTTGCCTTCTCTTACAGTGCAAACGTGCTAAAGTAATTGTTCATTGATGACAGGCGTATTGTGGACCATTGAACTCCTTCATCTTGCAAACGAAGTACGTATCCATACGTTTATGTGTTAAATGTCTGCGGTCAACTGTGGCTACGCTATGGAGTCATTTGTTTTCTAATGAGCTGGCCACTACTTTGAATTGACACTGATCACAACAGAATGTTCAGCAGACGCCAGACAGTACAAAATGTGAATGATTGCTTGTGAATAATGCACTGTCAAACAAATCGCTAGAATGCTTGCTCGATTGTCTTGTCCGCATAGCTTCTTGCGCAGGGCTGTCGTGCATGAATCGTGCATGAGCACTGCATGAGCTTCATGTGACTGACGGTGCGTGATCTGTGCGTGTTTGTTGCAGCTTTTACGTGACAAATGAATGGACTACTGCTGCAATACATCACTGGGGCAATCCTAACTGTCCTTCTCTATTGATAGTAGTTGGTAGTTGACGAAACGCGGTTACACTTTTCAATATAACGGAAAAATCTCAGCATGAGCGGCCCGGCCCGGCCTGTAACGCTTTTGATAGGCTTATATCTCAGCAACCGCTGGACCGATTGGCCTGCGGTCTTTTTTGTTGGATAGCCCCATCCCTTCTACCCCGTAATTGACTACTTTTGATGCATCTCAGTGACCGTTAATAACTCGGTAATTACTGGGGCGATTTCGCTGAAACTTGGCATATAGGTAGGCACCCACCAGGCAATGCATTCCCATATGTTGCGGCTTGGGTGCTACTGCACGTGCGCACGTGCAGGGGGCGTTTCCAGATCTCGAAAATGGCTGGGCCGATTGCGCTCAATTTTGGTACACGGTTGGGGACCAGTTAGTAGGGTGCCGTGCAAAAGTCAGTTTGGACCCCGTTTGCACGTGCGCACGTGCAGAATGCCGCTTCTAGATCTCAGGAACGGCTGGGCCGATTGCGTTCAAATTTGGTACACCGCTAGCGACCGGTTAGAAGGGTGCTTTGCGCAAGCCCGTTGGAAGTACCTACCCTCTCGCCCTTCCGCACGTGCAGGGCTCACTATCTCGCTCGCTCGTTCTTCGCCCAAAAGGCGTTTTACTGGTGTTAACGATCATATGTGTCCAGCTTCAATCATAACCGGGGGTTTGTGTTTAAAGAAGTGCCGCAAAGATAATAACGCGTTTTCATTTTACTTTGGAAAGAGTTTTCTTTTGACAAGGTGGAAATGTTGGGTCGCAGATTTTGTTCTTCGGTACTCTTAACAACAGTGTCAAATTGCCAGTTTCTTTTTTTCTTCTAAAAAAATCTAAATACAATACAACAATCATGAGGATCCTAATGCTGCCCATCCTGCTGGTTCTGGCCGTTCTTGGCGCAAGTGTGGAGGGCTACGGATACAGATCATCCGCGGGAAGAGACATGCTGGCAAGACAGGAACAGGACCCGAGGGCTGTTGAGCAAATCGAACAAATGCAAGCTAACCAGCATGAGATTTTCCAGAAATTGCAAGAACTTAGCTCAAAAGTATCTGCCCTCGAAAAGAAGAAGCATTGAGCAGATTTTATCATGCAAAGCTGAGCACCGAACTAGAGAGAGTGCTTATTTTATTTGTTAACATCTTTGCTATTCGTTTTATGTAATAAACACTTTGTTTGTAATAAACGTGTTACGTACGTAATGTAATACATGTAATGAACGCATGCTTCAGTTTTATTTCAGTGGCAAAACAACACCAATGTGCGTCTTGTATGCAGCTTTTTCTGTGGGTGTACTTGTATCCAACTAAACCAAGCCGTCAACTTGCCATCTACACGTTAACGCTGCTTTTTTGGATGTGATTTGCTTCGACCGCACGGGCTTCACCCAGCGGGCCCGGGAAATGGTCTTGGCACTCTTCGGGCGTCAGCGGTCTGCTGGAACCCACCGGCTGTCGCAATCCAGGAGGGATGGGGCCAAGTGCAGCCCTGCCGGAACCAGAGGATGGATATGTGGGCGTCACCACTGGAACGCATTTAACCCGCGCCGTGCTGGTGGCCTGAACTTTCCGCCGAGTGCTGGGGGGGGGGGGCGTTTTCACGCCCCCCCGTCTAACTCGGCTCCTGGGCCACGTAGCGACACGCGATAAGCGGCAATCGAAAGAGCGTCAAAAATAAGGACGAAAACACTTCGGTCATTTTTTGGGTCAGGTCAAAGGTCAGGTCACCAGAGGTCACCAAAGGTAAAATGTTGACTATTTCAACATTTTGGAAACTGCCAACGGCTATCTCGGGAACCGATAGAGCTACAGCGCCGCGGAAAAGCGCATTCGATAGCCCTTTTACAGACCTTTCTGAATAATGTTCTCAGATTTGACCTCAGGTCAACGGTTTAGCCTCCAGAGGGCAAAAACTCCAAAAATAGCCGTTTTTACGAAAAACGTTTTTTCGTCAATAACTTTTGACTCATAAGCGCCATGACATTACTTTTGCCAGCATCGTGTTCCTCTTGTCGAGACGCGTCGAATGAACTATTTGTTGACCTTGAAAGGTCATTTTGAAAATTTGACCTCAGGTCAAGGTCATGACCTGACCGAAAAGGGTCATGTTGCATATCAGTCGATCCGTATCGTCGAGCTGAACACATCTGACGTGTTTTCACCGCTCTAGCACGTCTCTATCAAAAGTTATAGCAAAAAAACTGCTGGCGACCGTTCATGACCTGAGATGACCTCAGGGGCACACAGAGGGGTCACAGGTGCATTTTTCCTATTCAGTGTGTCATGTTTACCTATGAACCGATGTTTGAGAGCGTTTTGAACGATATTCGTCCAAAAGAGGCGCATTTCAATTTTCTCCCATTGACTTATAATGGAGAGGTCGCAAAATTGACCTGACCTTAGGTCACAGATATCAAAAATCCGAGATATACATTTTATACATACTGTTACTCATATCAATCGCTGAAAGTTTCAAAGTGATCGTTCAGTCGGTGTAGCTATAGCGAGCCTTTGAACTTTTTCTGAGGTAAGGTCACTTGACGTGACCTGGTGACCTGACCTTGAACGGCCTAGGTCTGAAATTTTCACAACATGTGCGGAAATGATGTAGGAACACGTGTACCAAAAACGGCGGCGCTGCGCGCCGCCGTTTTTTGAGATATTCGCGAAAAACCTGAGGGGGGGCGTAAAAACGCCCCCCCCAGCACGGCGCGGGTTAATGATGTTGCATTACGTGAGTACCTACCCTGCAACGGCCCGCAGTTTCATACTAAGTGCGACATCTGACATTTCAAATACCCCAAACATCCGTGTCTAATAAGGTTCAATGAATACGCGTGGGCTGTGTTTACACATAAATAAACAACACTACGACTTTAGGTTTTCCAGATCTTTAATGAGCGTTGGGTGTTCGATTCCGATTCCGATTCGTCATTTGACCCAAAGTCAACGATTCGTCCTCCTCCGGGGCAAGCTCGTCAAAAGGGAAGTTTTCGTGGGCTTTTTCTTCAGATAATTTTGACGCGAGGTTTTTTGGGACATTGATATTGCCAGCAACGTTTATCTATAGTCGGATCGTGTCGCCTAAAAATTAATTTGGTCTGAAATCATTAACTCCAGCACTTGGCCTAAAGTTAATGTCACGACCTGACCGGGCAAACCATGCTCTATATCAGCCGATCTGTATTGTTAAGCTGGTGTTTTTACCGCCCTGACATCTTTCTTTCAAAAGTCATTGTAGAAATAAACTTCTGATGAAGCACCCACTCATAACAATAGCTGAGAGGTGTGCTTTACAATAGACTCAGCAAAATACGAAAGGCTGCCTACAGAAATTAGCAGCTTTTCAACCGGAACACCCTCTTAGATCGACCTCCGCTCCAGCCTTCCCCACTGACGTAATCACCGATATCCGGCAGGCCGTCCAGCCCTGTTTACGTTTTCAGGGAAGTCTGCCACTGACCCGGTCGGAGGGGAGATTCGACGTAAATAGCCACGTCATGTGGCCGCTTTGATCAGGAGTCTTCTCCGAGTCTGGCCTTTGGCTATAGAACAATACGGCACGGGCCGGGTCGGGACGCACGGCAGCGCCACTGTTCGGGCCAGCCTCCGTGTCAGTCGGCTTCAATGCCAAGGCTTGGTTGTTATGTCCAGTGCCTAAAAACAATGCCGACAGCAGCTGTTTCTGTTGGAACATCGCCTACGCTAGCAATGCCAGCTCATTGGCTGCTGTTAGTTTTTCCCTAAACGCCTCAGTTACATGTTTGCTATTGCTTACCATTATGTCGTGTTTGTGTGGTCTGACTAAAATATACTGGTCGACTATTCAGTGTTGTATCAAGTATCACACAACAATGAAAATGTATTCCAAATGTGAAAAAATGGCACTGATTACTTACCTCGTAATTGCAGGGGGAGTTGATGAGGCCCGTCCTCAGGCTTTGATGGCTGACTGACGCATCGTTTGTCTGAGCGTGCTGAAACTTTAACCTGCGTTTCGACGAGTGCAGGGGGTCAGATACCCGCCTCCTCTCGAGGTTTTTCGTAAATAGCCGAAAACCGCAGCATGTAGCGCTGTGAAACTTGGTGTGACTCTTCTGTCATCAATTCACACATTGTGTGCAAGTTATGGCCTCTTACCTTCAAAGTCAGGTCATCAGACCATTTTGAATGACCTGACCTCAAATCACTTTTTTTGCAACTTTGTCACCGTGTAAGAGCCATGACCGAACCCTTTGAACTTGCATAATGATTAATAAGACCATAGGTATGTACATACCTACAACTCGTATATCCCTCGCTCCGTTGGAGGGTGGGCACTGGGCAATATGCCACCCCTCCCCCCCCCCCTGTGTTTTTTCCTGAATAGCAAGAAAACGGCGGCGCGCAGCGCCGCCAAGTTCTCAATACCTTCCCGGGCATCAATTTGACACCTTTACACTAAATTCCAAGTCTAAAGTTTGTGGCTAACTTGCTTCGTTTTCGAGATCTTAGGGGTTGGCCTTTCGCCCCCATCGGCCATCCCCGCTCCGTCGGTGTAAAGTTGGCCCGGACCCTCTTCAGTACGTAGATTAACCCTCGCCGGCCGAGGGGGGGAGGGCGGGTGCCGCCCCCCCCCCCCATAGGTTTTTTCGCGATAGCCCCGAACACGCTGGCGATAGAGAGCTGAAACTTGGCATACCTGACCTTTGATTCAAGCCGGATCTTTTGACACCAACCGCATTTTCGGGTCAGGTCACTGACGTATGACGTGATAAGTGAACCTCTGCACGGTCTTCAGATGTCGCAACTTCGCAACGCCCTCACTGCCAGAGGAGATGTAACAAGGAAATGAAACTTGCAGGATCTAGTATCCATTATGATTCCCACAACTTGTATATCTCGGATTTTTCCTTAAGGTCATATGAGGTCAGGTCATTTTCGTGACCT